CATTAGACACTAGAGCAAAGAACGCCTTCTTCACCTGGTAACCATACAATCACAAATTAACCAGCAGGCACTCGGACAGCTTAAATGTCATGAATGTTGATGACACAAAGTACAGAGCAAATATATCCAACCCCTAGAGTCAACATGAAATCAATACTGACCCCATGTGCCTGATTCTAATATCAATTATTCATATCATTCCAAATATTTGGTGTGTATGTATGTTAATTCTCTTTTATCAGAAAGTAATAATGTGTTCTATCTCTTAAACAACGTACCTTTCCTGCTAACATCACTTGTTATATAAATAATGTTACAAAATGCTTTTTAGGCATAGTTTTAGCAAATGCACATTCAGTCTTGCTGTATTCTGGTGTGGAACGGACACTTTACATGATCTAATTAATTAAAGGAATCGTTCATCCAAACATGAAAATGTGCTCACCCTCAGGCCATCCAAGATTTAGATTAGTTTGTTTCTTCATCAGATTTGGAGAAATGTAGCATTCCATCACTTGCTCACCAATGGATCCTTCTGCAGTGAATGGGTGCCGTCAGAATGAGAGTCCACACAGCTGATGATATCTTGATGGATTTCTATCTTACAGACACACACAGCTTTTCACTTCACAAGATATTAGCTGATGGACTGGAGTGGTGTGGTTAATGTGATGTTTTTATCAGCTGTTTGCACTCTCATTCTGACGGCACCCATTCACTGCAGGGCATCCATTGGTAAGCAAGTGGTGCAATGCTACATTTCTCCAAATTTGTTCTGATGAAGAAACAAACTCACCTACATCTTGGATGGCCTGAGTGTAAGCACCTTTTCAGCAAACCTTCATTTTTGGGTGAACTATTCTTTTAATGAGTAAAATCATGTTTGTTTGTTTTATCTTTTGTTTCACACAGAAATGTGTGATATTACGGAAATTAATAGGTTGTAAACAAGGTTGCACGTTTAACAACATTTGAAGAGTTTATTTGCAAAAACCGATAAACGCCACTTTATAAGTGCCGTGCATTATTCTCCACACACAGCGCGATCTGAACCCTAAACACGTTTTGTCAAAAAATCCGGTATTGTCCACTTTCAAGGCTTCATGAGTTCACGTTTTACAGCAGAAGCCGACAGGTGCCCTTGATGTTTGTGAACAGAAGCCGATAAGTCCATTTTAGCGAATCAGCGCACTGTATTCAGGTCAAGTGACAAGGCTGCCAGTCACTTTGAAAAGACGCTAGCTGAATGCACAATAAAAAAATGAAAAAACATGATTTCTGAAAATAAATAAAAATGGAGTTATCTGTTTTTGCAAATTAACTCTTCATTTGATTTCTTCTGATCACCAACCTGTAGAGAAGTGTCAAACACCACCAACTTTGAGCTGGTGGGCACCAGGTCATAGCAGCGGTGGGATTTCATGAAGCGGGTGTACACATTATACTCAGGATCTGGTTTGAAATAAAGGGAAAAACAAAAAGGAATAATCTGCTACTTTAATGCTTGAAAAAGCATAGTCTAAATCATTAAACCATAAACAAGCATTTAATAACAACCAATGAAAATATGAGCGAAAAAGTGTCAGAGAACAAAATGCCACTGGATCATATTTCTGTTGTCACTTTAGTCTCAGATTTCACTCCAAACACTGAAGTCAAAGCCCTGCTCGGCTCTGCTTTCATACCTCGCACACGAGCTGCAGGTCATCGCAGGACTACAGTATCATCTTTATTTATTCACATTCTTACCCTCTATGTGCGCCTCCTTTTTGCCATCCAACTCATCTAGAACAGCAGGAACCTGAAAAACAGATGTGTGAACATTCAAAGCTCACTTTCATTTTACCTTTATAAATGTGATAATTTTTCTGATAAGAGTTCTTGATGATTAACCCTGTAAATCCTGACACATGAAATAATAGTTAGTAAAATCACATTTTTAAAGGGATGCTTATTGAACCTTTAGACAAAACATAACAAAATGACTCAAAAGCCTGATGATCATATTTGATACTCACTGATTTTGCATAAAAAGTTATGCATGTGCTGTATACGCAATAACAGTTAAGTTGCTTCAGTCCAGTAAGTGTTCATTTTGAAATATTACTAACAATATCAGTTATTTTTGCATTTATTATTAAATAGGCTAAATATCAGTAAAGATTTCACAACAAAAAGACACATGCACAACCTGAAGGTGGACTTTGTAAAATGATACTAAAAGACTTTTTACTTGCTAAAAAAAGTATAAACTATCAATCAGACAACAGAAAGCATGTAGTAAATTGTGTCCAACAGGACTTTCAGCAACGTTTTCGATCATGTTGATCATTTAGGGGCCTTAGAAATTTGTATATCAAATAAAATACAGTAGAGTTAGGAGAGGGTTAACGATAAGTTGAATTCGAGTTGTTACACTCAACTAACCAAAGGCTCAAATGTATCTAGTGAATACATATTAGCCAGAGGATTTAACAGCAGGACAGTTCTGCTCGCTTTAAAGTATTTTCAGTTGTTATACATCAATTAACTCTTTTTTTAACTCCAATATAGTTTCAGACAATTAAGAGTTTAACCTCAAAGCTTGTGCTGTGTCTGTTCCCGACTAGTTTTGCTTTACCTATTAATTAACCAATAATGCAGAACCTGAAGGTGGACTTTTTACTTGCTAAAAAAAAGTATAAACTATCAATCAGACAACAGAAAGCATGTAGTAAATTGTGTCCAACAGGACTTTCAGCAACGTTTTCGATCATGTTGATCATTTAGGGGCCTTAGAAATTTGTATATCAAATAAAATACAGTAGAGTTAGGAGAGGGTTAACGATAAGTTGAATTCGAGTTGTTACACTCAACTAACCAAAGGCTCAAATGTATCTAGTGAATACATATTAGCCAGAGGATTTAACAGCAGGACAGTTCTGCTCGCTTTAAAGTATTTTCAGTTGTTATACATCAATTAACTCTTTTTTTAACTCCAATATAGTTTCAGACAATTAAGAGTTTAACCTCAAAGCTTGTGCTGTGTCTGTTCCCGACTAGTTTTGCTTTACCTATTAATTAACCAATAACTGCGAAAGCTGACAGATATCAGTGAGGTGAGGGGAGAAACTTGACAGCTTACTAGCTCGAACATTGTTAAGATAAACACTGATAATAAGATAAATACTGTACTAACAACAGCACACTAAAGCACTACTAGACTTGTGCCGGTATTCGGTACTGCGATATATCACGGTAATGAGTATGCACGGTATTGTTATCGTGGGCACTTCTAAATACCGTGAATAATTATATATTACAAATTATTCAGAATTCTGAATGCATTTTAAGAATACTTTTCCCATCAACTGGTCAAAATGCACAACAGCGCTGTAATGAAAGACAGGTGTGGACGAGAAGCGCATGGATGAAAGCGCACTTTCACTCTCTGACAGCAGATGGCGCTAAACTGCAGAAATAATAATAATGATAATAATTCATTTAAATGCAGTCGTTAAACCAGAAACCCTGTAAACAAAGCAGCTGCACTACTTTCTGTTTCTAACTCGTGTTTAAATGATTTAAACAGCCATTCAGATTTGTGTGTTTGCCGTGATGTTCATCACCGCACCAAATACTTAAATATTGAGACTTAATAGGCTATTTATTTTCAATCTTTTTTTACATTTTCATCTGGACTACAACATGCCCTAGATATTGTTTGAAAGTGTTTTGATTCTTTATTGTTCGGTCACACTTTACATTAGGGCTTCATTAGTTAACATAAACTGCCAATAAAAAATGTCTGAACATTCATGAATATATTAATATATAATTAATAAAGAAAGTTGCATCTGTGTTATTTAATGAGCTAACATGAACCAAGACTTGTATTTTATTAACAAAGATTAATAACTTCTGTAGCAAATGCAGCGATTGCTAATTGTGAATGTTAATGCATTAACTAAGGTTAACTAACGAGGTCCTATTGTAAAGTGATACCTATTGGTCTTTATAGTTCTTTTGCACTTTAATCTGTGTAAAACTTTTAACTTTATACATTTTTCTGTATTGCTTTATTGCATTTAAATGTTCAGCTATTTTTGTTATAAGAAAAAAAAGTTTGTATTATGATTCGAAATGTCAATACCGTGATAATACCGTATACCGTGATAAACGCATTAGCAATTAATCGCAACATGAAAACATGAAACCGGCATATCCCCAAGCAAATTTAAGTACATTCATACTACAGTGCTAGAGTAACAGCAGTGCATTTGAGCAGCATTATAGTAACTGCAGTAGACTAGTGTAGTAAACTCAGTAACTTACATATTATAACACATAAACACAATAATAAACAAACCCCGCCGTTAGCCTAACAGTCTCTCGACGTCAACCAACTTCTGTCTCAGTTTAAACTCGCACTACTTACACACTCCATGATCCATTCACGGCGTGTAGAAGCTAAAGAAGTTTACTTCGACTTCAGAGCGCAGAAATATAGTTTAATTCGGTCTCCGGTAGCTGAAATGGTGTGTATTTCGTCTCTGGTCCCGCAGCTCGCTGACAGACTCCTTCAAGGAAGCGGAAGCCCGATGCGGAGGCCGCGACCGGATGTGACGACACACGCGCTTCTACATAACAATAACAATGCATAATCGCCTATAATAATTAATCCTGCTGCTAAGCTGGTTATGAAATAAATTAAATATGAATTATATAACAGCACTATATGTGTATATGAGAGCCTAAGTCTGGCAGATAAACGTTGTATTTATTTAATTTGGCAGCATATAAAATAAAACTAACAGTACAACGGTTCTAAGCAGAAGAAGAGTAAATAAAAGCGTTGCCAAGGCAACAAAAACTATTGCTTAACCATAATTGTTTAACAAGTTATGAACAAACCAAAAAACACCTATTAACATCTATTAAACCCAACTAGCACACCTCAAATACATTGCAAGGGTGCCAAAGTTGTCGATTAACATAATCAACACATATTTGCAGAGAAAAACAACAACATGGAGCTCAAGATTCTCCTGAACGATGAAGTTTTTGTGGATTTCTTCAATACATTTCTAAGTCTTCCAGTAAGATAATGCTCCTCATTTCCGTATCTTTAAAGTGCTGCTGAAATCCTGAAATGATCACACGTGTTTGTCCTGCTTTTAGGTGTTTGGGCAAACCCCTCTCTACATGCTCAAAGAAAACAAGTGGTTAATGTGGCCGAATGTGCCCTTTGCTCAGGTAGGATGTTATTTATGAGAATATCAACCAGACCACCACAGCTGCTGGCCAAAACATCTCATATCTGTAAACATATTTACTGTCAGGTGAACACTGGAGCATTTCTGAAATGGTTAGACACACATCGGATGGTTTGCTTCAAACAAACGGAGCTCTATCACAATTTCATTCTCTGCGCAGAGATCCTTGACTTTGTATCCCGTAAATCCACAGGTAATGCTATGCTTGCATGATGAAAGTTGTCTGGTGTGGGATTCTTTATTGTTCGGTCACACTTTACATTAGGGCTTCATTAGTTAACATAAACTGCCAATGAAAAAATGTCTGAACATTCATGAATATATTAATATATAATTAATAAAGAAAGTTGCAACTGTGTTATTTAATGAGCTAACATGAACCAAGACTTGTATTTTATTAACAAAGATTAATAACTTCTGTAGCAAATGCAGCGATTGCTAATTGTGAATGTTAATGCATTAACTAAGGTTAACTAACGAGGTCCTATTGTAAAGTGATACCTATTGGTCTTTATAGTTCTTTTGCACTTTAATCTGTGTAAAACTTTTAACTTTATACGTTTTTCTGTATTGCTTTATTGCATTTAAATGTTCAGCTATTTTTGTTATAAGAAAAAAAAGTTATTAAACCTGTTATACTGTATTATGACATTTCATTTCGAAATGTCAATACCGTGATAATACCGTATACCGTGATAAACGCATTAGCAATTAATCGCAACATGAAAATTTGATACCGGCATATCCCCAAGCAAATTTAAGTACATTCATACTACAGTGCTAGAGTAACAGCAGTGCATTTGAGCAGCATTATAGTAACTGCAGTAGACTAGTGTAGTAAACTCAGTAACTTACATATTATAACACATAAACACAATAATAAACAAACCCCGCCGTTAGCCTAACAGTCTCTCGACGTCAACCAACTTCTGTCTCAGTTTAAACTCGCACTACTTACACACTCCATGATCCATTCACGGCGTGTAGAAGCTAAAGAAGTTTACTTCGACTTCAGAGCGCAGAAATATAGTTTAATTCGGTCTCCGGTAGCTGAAATGGTGTGTATTTCGTCTCTGGTCCCGCAGCTCGCTGACAGACTCCTTCAAGGAAGCGGAAGCCCGATGCGGAGGCCGCGACCGGATGTGACGACACACGCGCTTCTACATAACAATAACAATGCATAATCGCCTATAATAATTAATCCTGCTGCTAAGCTGGTTATGAAATAAATTAAATATGAATTATATAACAGCACTATATGTGTATATGAGAGCCTAAGTCTGGCAGATAAACGTTGTATTTATTTAATTTGGCAGCATATAAAATAAAACTAACAGTACAACGGTTCTAAGCAGAAGAAGAGTAAATAAAAGCGTTGCCAAGGCAACAAAAACTATTGCTTAACCATAATTGTTTAACAAGTTATGAACAAACCAAAAAACACCTATTAACATCTATTAAACCCAACTAGCACACCTCAAATACATTGCAAGGGTGCCAAAGTTGTCGATTAACATAATCAACACATATTTGCAGAGAAAAACAACAACATGGAGCTCAAGTTTCTCCTGAACGATGAAGTTTTTGTGGATTTCTTCAATACATTTCTAAGTCTTCCAGTAAGATGATGCTCCTCATTTCCGTATCTTTAAAGTGCTGCTGAAATCCTGAAATGATCACACGTGTTTGTCCTGCTTTTAGGTGTTTGGGCAAACCCCTCTCTACATGCTCAAAGAAAACAAGTGGTTAATGTGGCCGAATGTGCCCTTTGCTCAGGTAGGATGTTATTTATGAGAATATCAACCAGACCACCACAGCTGCTGGCCAAAACATCTCATATCTGTAAACATGAACAAACCAAAAAACACCTATTAACATCTATTAAACCCAACTAGCACACCTCAAATACATTGCAAGGGTGCCAAAGTTGTCGATTAACATAATCAACACATATTTGCAGAGAAAAACAACAACATGGAGCTCAAGATTCTCCTGAACGATGAAGTTTTTGTGGATTTCTTCAATACATTTCTAAGTCTTCCAGTAAGATAATGCTCCTCATTTCCGTATCTTTAAAGTGCTGCTGAAATCCTGAAATGATCACACGTGTTTGTCCTGCTTTTAGGTGTTTGGGCAAACCCCTCTCTACATGCTCAAAGAAAACAAGTGGTTAATGTGGCCGAATGTGCCCTTTGCTCAGGTAGGATGTTATTTATGAGAATATCAACCAGACCACCACAGCTGCTAGCCAAAACATCTCATATCTGTAAACATATTTACTGTCAGGTGAACACTGGAGCATTTCTGAAATGGTTAGACACACATCGGATGGTTTGCTTCAAACAAACGGAGCTCTATCACAATTTCATTCTCTGCGCAGAGATCCTTGACTTTGTATCCCGTAAATCCACAGGTAATGCTATGCTTGCATGATGAAAGTTGTCTGGTGTGGGTCGCACTAAAGGAAGAGTTCACCCAAACATGAAAATTAGCTGGAAATGTCCTCACCCTCAGGCTATCTACAAGATGTAGGTGAGTTTGTTTCTTCATCAGATTTGGAGAAATGTAGCATTGCATCAGTGTCTCAGCAATGGATGCTCTGCAGTGAATGGGTGCCGTCAGAATGAGAGTCCAAACAGCTGATAAAAACATCCACAGCACTCCAGTCCACCAGTTAACATCCTGAGAAGTGAAAAGCAGCATGTTTGTAAGAAACAAATCCATCATTAAGATGTTTTAACTTTAAACCATCATTCCTGGCCAATAAAACAAGTTCATAACACATAATAACGCTTCCTCCATTGGAAAAGTCTATTGCCTGCATGTTGTCTCTCACATTAAAATTCACCCACATATTCTTTTAGAGCTGTTTTTGATTGTAAACGGTTCTTGATCTGTGATATTTCTCTCCTAAATCAGACCAGATGACTTCTTCAGTGGAAAGAGCAATATTATGGACTCATAATTTAGCCAGAAGCAACAGTTTGAAGTTAAAAACTTCTTAATGATGGATTTGTTTCTTACAAACATGCTGCTTTTCACTGCTCAAGATGTTAACTGGTGGACTGGAGTGGTGTGGATTACTTGCGATGTTTTTATCAGCTGTTTGGACTCTCATTCTGACGGCACCCATTCACTGCAGAGCATCCATTGCTGAGCAAGTGACGCAATGCTACATTTCTCCAAATCTGATCCCATGAAGAAACAAGATTGGATGGCCTAACGGTGATTCAGTTTTCAGGAAAATTTCATTTTGGGTGAGTTATTCCTTTAATATATATTATTAGTTTTTCTTTATTTTTTAATGATGCTTTTTTTTCAGAGGATTTGAAATGGACTCTGGCAGACCAGTGGCTGTTAAGGAAGTGTCTCGGCAGCGTGAGGGGAATCCAGAGATTTCGTTCGTTTCTCAAGACCACTGCTGGTGTGAGACTGCACTGATTTACACTGAGTTCCTTTTAAATTCATTCAGCATCCAAACCAGTTTAGTTTTACAAGACTCAAGGTTTTACATCAGATTTACATATAAAATGAAAACTAGTAGAGCCAATACCTTTGCTTTCTGCCCTCTATACTGTCCCAACTGAAAATAAATGAATGAAAACAAAATTTTGCCAGTGCTTATGCTACATGTGTAATGTGTTTTCGAGCAGAGGAGGAGCTTCTTCTGTTCTGTGTGAGAGTGTCCATGATGTTGAGTATGAAAGAAGAAATAAATGAAGATGCGTTTCAGACTTTGAATCGTCAAGCACTTCAGAAAGCGATCAGACTCTCTCACCTGAGCGAAGGCTCTGCCATCCTGTCTGTCTGCCATATACACGCAGGTAAGGCAGTGCATGTGTTTCTCTCCTCTTCTCTTAAATACCACACTATTTCTGTTCTACTGTTTGTAGGATTACACTACCATAAGTTTGGGGTCGGAAGGATTTGTTCATGTTTTTGAAAGAAGAGTCTGTTCTGCTCACCAAGGCTGCATTTATTTGATCAAAAATACAAAACAAATATTAATTGAAAATTATTACTTATTTCTTTCTATGTGAATATATTGTAAAATGTCATTTATTTCTGTGATCAAAGCTGAATTTTCAGCATCATTACTCCAGTCTTCAGTGGTCCTTTAGAAATCAATCTAATATGCTGATTTGGTGCCAGATTTTTTATGATAGTATTATTTATATACTATTATAACTTTAATTAATATTATGATTAAGTTTGGGGTCGGAAGGATTTGTTCATGTTTTTGAAAGAAGAGTCTGTTCTGCTCACCAAGGCTGCATTTATTAGATCAAAAATACAAAACAAATATTAATTGAAAATTATTACTTATTTCTTTTTATGTGAATATATTGTAAAATGTCATTTATTTCTGTGATCAAAGCTGAATTTTCAGCATCATTACTCCAGTCTTCAGTGGTCCTTTAGAAATCAATCTAATATGCTGATTTGGTGCCAGATTTTTTATGATAGTATTATTTATATACTATTATAACTTTAATTAATATTATGAATTAGCTGTTATTTTATATTTGTAGTTTTAATTTTGATTTTAGTTTAAACAAATATTAATTGAAAATTATTACTTATTTCTTTCTATGTGAATATATTGTAAAATGTCATTTATTTCTGTGATCAAAGCTGAATTTTCAGCATCATTACTCCAGTCTTCAGTGGTCCTTTAGAAATCAATCTAATATGCTGATTTGGTGCCAGATTTTTTATGATAGTATTATTTATATACTATTATAACTTTAATTAATATTATGAATTAGCTGTTATTTTATATTTGTAGTTTTAATTTTGATTTTAGTTTATTTTTAGTAACATTTTATGTGCCTTGTCAGTTTTTGTTTTAAATACAAATCTTTTTAAATATTACAATTTAGGTTTAATGTATTTTTATTTCAGTTTATTTCCAGTTAGTGATTTTAGTGCTTCAAATGAAATGTATTTCAGTTGGAATTTTAAATTTTCATTTAGTTTAATTCATTCATTTTTTCCGTATTTATATTTTATTTTATTTCAGCTTTATTTCAATTAACAAAAATAGTTGTAATATTTTTAATTTGTGATAATAACCCTGTTTGCTGCGCAAGAAACATTTCTGATTATTATCAATGTTGAAAACAGTTGTGCTACT